GATCGGCTAGACCGTCCGAGATATTTATATTATTTAAGTAACGCCCTAAATGATCTACTGGATTATGTTCCTCTGGAAGTTCGTCAAAACATAGCAATTCATGATGGTGCTTCTTGGCATAATGCCTGCCTGAATCTTTTGAAATTGGTTAATTCAGCACTTTCCTGAACGTTGTATGGTTTGAAATGGTCTAGTTGCATGGCCTGTCCGATTGTCAAACAATCCGTGCGGTTTTTATTTATGGGTCATTTGAAACAGTTGGGTTTCAGTTAAAATGGTTGAAGAAAATTTTCGATACTGTACACTATTATTCCTTGAATAACATGGGATATTTTTAACATTTGTTGTAACTTAATTTAGTAAAATAATTGTGAACCTACTGAAAATAATCTATTTTATGAATAACTTTTTACCTTGAACAATTGTCATTTAACATAATAAATTTTATTACTTTACAATATAAACCGAATCAATTCTCATTATTTTGTTCATTATTCAATCAACTAAGCCTTTCGATTTACACTCCAGTGACGGGTAACCAAAATTTAAAATTCTAGAAAATATAAAATGAAGAGGTTTATGAAAAAAATTATTAGACGAAAGTTAACACCATGTAGATTTCATAGAAATTACATAAATTTCAGTAACCTATGTTAATATTAACATACAAGAATATTTGCATGAATTTCTCTGCTTTCGTAGTTAATTTTCCACTTTGTTTCGTGTATTTTAATTCGTAAACTGAAGTAATGTCATGTTTTAAGGGTAATCATGGGAATGAAAGGATCTAACATATTTCCCAATGAATTTATTGCTAACAGACGTTTTATGTAAATATAGCAGAACCTACTAGCTATCAAAAGGTTCAACTTGAACTATAAAAAGAAATGTTCAAATAGAGTTTCTATATTTAACTAATTGTAATTATTAATTAATAACCTTCAAGATTTTTCTAGTATTTTCAGTACATAATTATATAAGGTTATAGATTATTTCTAGATATTTAAAAGATATAAGCAAGTTTCCCATTGTCTGTGGCTTTACTCAGGGTATATTTGTTCAATTCATACCTTGACTTGTATATTAGAGTAATCTCATTGTATTTAGATATCGCTGTGTTTGTTTTTGTATTATTGAAGCTGCCGTGCAGTGCTAGTTCATATCAAGTATGTATAATAGACATGTGACTTCAACACACAAAAAAAAACGAGCCAGTGACTTTTGAGTGAATTAAAGTTAGTACTAACATATTTTTGTTTTAAAAATTGTGTTTGCTGCTTTTTACCGGTTTAGTATAGTTAAGCGATTGATAGTTGTAGCTATAAAGAAGCCAGTCAGAAAAATACTTTTACGTAAAGAACCTACAGAAGAGTTCATCGCAGATAAACCGTTCTTTATTATTTTAACGTTTAAAGAAGAATGTGGCAGTCTAAGTCAGTACAGTGTGATTTTTTATGGAAAATTAGCTGACCCATCGATAAGAAAATCAACATGAACTGTAAACTCAAAATATACCTATATCAATATATCAATAAAATCGCTTGAGAATATTGCATGAAAGAGTGAATTATTGTATCTATTTATATAAAATGAATTTGTACTTGAAAAATTTTTATTGATCTTCTGCTTCTGTGTAAACTAATCTGTGTGGCAATCCACAAAGTATTAAAAATTTTAAATCTCATTTCATACAATTTGAGTTAAAAAAATCACAGAGTAAACTGTGTTATTATTTAAATATTTTTTAGAATTTCTTGAAATATTTATATCAATTGCATTTTCTGGACATAATAAAAATATATTTTGTCAAACACGTACTAAGTAATGTTTTTGTTGTTATAAACTTGATACATGAAATACTGAATTTGTAACATGACAAAAATTTAATCGATCTGCATCTTGTATGTGAGCTAGTTCTGTTCTGTTCAGTATTTAAAATTTCGTTTTTTAGTAAAAAATTCACTGAGAATATGGTCTTAAATCATTCGAATATTTTCTTAAGAGTTTCTTAGTGCTTCCATTTATTAATATAAGTTATATTTTTTTAAACATGTAAATGTATATTGTCATATTTTGTATCCCAACTATTCAACTTTAAATATTGTCCACTTGTATTACAAAATTTAAAAAAAAAATTGTGAAACACTTATTGGATATTAAATTTGATGATCTCATTTGCATGCCATATCTAAATAGAGAGTGTTCCAAAAATAAGTACCAAAATGTTAACCACATATCATAAAAAGTAACAGTTTTTGTCTAATAATTTTTTTTCAAAATCTTACACCCTTGTCCACTATTTTTTACTCATTGAAATAACGCTAACCGCCTGTGGATTAAAGAAATATCTAAGTAACGTATGCGAATGTTTAATACAATGATTGACTAAAAGGATTTACTATACTAAATGTGAAGTGTAAGAAATACGAAGAAGTATTAGCAGTTGTCATTGTGCATCATGTCATGTTTCACAAACAGTGAATATGTTGATACGATGTTAGCTTACATTGAAGTCTAAGGCTCATAGTATTTATATGGATCATTTCGCGAATCGTCTTATACCTTTTGGAGGTGAACTGGCAACAATCTAATTGTACTACGAACATTGAATATACACTTTTCAATAATGTTGCAAATAATACTGGTCCTTGTAGTCTGTTTAGTTTAGAAAAGTTTAGTTTTGCAGACTCATAATCATCGTAACTGACAGCAGTTTTGTGACTGGATATAGTGAGGATTTTAAGTAAATTTTGGGACAAAATAGTAAACGAGTGACTCGACTCGATAGACTTTAAATTATTTCAGATCGGCTAGACCATCCGAGATATTTATATTATTTAAGTAACGCCCTAAATGATTTACTGGATTATGTTCCTCTGGAAATTCGTCAAAATGTAGTAATTCATGATGGTGCTTCATGGCATAATGCCCGAATTTTTTGAAATTTGTTAATTCAACATTTTCCTCGAAGGCGTATCGTTCCAAATGGTCTAATTGCATGGCGTGTCCGATTGTCAAATTTCAATCCGTACGATTTTTATTTATGGGGTCGTTTGAAACAGCTAGTGTATTCCACTTCAGTTAAAATCGTTGAAGAAAATTTTTAATGCTGTACACAATTATTCCTTGGATAACATGGGATATTTTTAACATTTGTTGTAACTTAATTTAGTAAAATAATTGTGAACCTACTGAAAATAAATAATAACTTGTTACCTTGAACAATTTTCGTTTAACATAACAAATTTTATTATTTTTCAATATAAATCGAATTAATTGTCATTATTTTTTTTATTATTCAATCAGCTAAACCTTTCGATTTACACTCCAGTGACGGGTAATGAAAATTTTAAATTCTAGAAAGTATATCTTAAAAATGAAGAGATTTATGAAAAAATTTATTAGACAAAAGGGAACACCCTGTAGATTTCATAGAAGTTACATAAATTTCAGTAACCTATGTTAAATATTTGCACGAATTTCTCTGCTTTCGTAGTTAATTTTCCATTTTGTTCTGTGTATTTTAATTCGTAAACTGAAGTAATGTAATTTTTATTAAGAATAATCACAGGACTGAAGAGATCTAACATATAACAAATTTATTGCGAACAGACATTTTATGTAAAAGTAGCTGAACCTCCTAGCAACCAAAAGGTTCAACATGAACTATAAAAAGAAATTTTCAAATGGAATTTCTATATTTAACTCATTTCAAAACATAGCTGTAAAAGTAATAATCAAATTAGTTTCCCGATTTAACAACACAATAGCGTTGATTATTAAAGTATTCTTATTGAATTCGGATAATGTTGTAGGATTTTTAAAAACTATTTTGCTATTTTCATTTATTTGTTTATATAAGTTAGATCTTTCCAGATCCTGTAGACATTGTGAAATTATGAATCTCAACTACTCAAGTACTCAACTTTGAATATTGTTGTCTATTTAATGTTACTTACTTTGCTGGGTAACTTGTGCACACTGAATGTCAACGCTTGAAATTGTACGCATTTTGCATGCTTTATCTCTATTATTACACGATATTAAAATATTATACAGGTTCGGAAAGTCCCCATGGTCCATCTGCCGTTACGTGAGAGCGATAAAGTAAGACATAGAAATCCGTGCGATGGAGAAGGATGGCTATAATGAAGGCGTCTTATAGTCACCGCCCGTTGCGCCCTTCCACAAATTAGATCCACTTCCACTTGTAATTCAGTGACCGGTGGTCATCTTTGTTTTCGTCGTTTGCCTTTTCTTTAATAGATGTCACTACTTATACAATTGCGACTTCGGTATTCCGATATGTTAATACAATCCGTTAACAGAGGGCAGCGCAACGCGTAACAAAGAAATTTTTTACAGTAGCTAGTAGATAGCTCTGTTTGTAAATCTAGTGACATTGTTTCCCCTACTGAGAAGTTATTCAAATGGAGTATAGTGCTCAGCTACATTGAAAGTTCATTTAGTTGTTATTTAAGTATACTTTGCCCTCTGTTAACGGATTGTATTAACATATCGGACTACTGGAGTCGGAATTGTATAAGTAGTGACATCTATTAAAGAAAAGCCAAACGAGGAAAACAAAGATGACCACCGGTCGCTGAATTACAAGTGGAAGGGCAAAACGGGCGGTGACTATGAGACGCCTTCATTATAGCCATCCTTCTCTATCGCACGGATTTCTATGACTTACTTTATCGCTCTCACGTAACGGCAGATGAACCATGGGGACTTTCCGACCCTGTATACAATATTGCGTACAGTATTACATTTATGATTTGTATTCAACTATATTGCATAAATATATACGTTAGTAGATCGGACAAGTCGCGACACACTTTGATAGATTTAAAACAATTTGTCTTTATGTAAAGATGCCCCAACCAGTGTTATAGTCCTTAAAATTATGTTCAGCCTCTGAAATAATACTTATCTTGATCTGGTGGGGGTATCTCACGTACTTAATAACGATGGTAATTATGCAAAATTGAAATCAGGTATGATAATGGCAATGAGATGTGCTATGCTGCCAATGCCCGTGGAAGAAGTTATTGTAGACCATCCGTTTGGAATCTACCTGATTCATAGGGAAGGTCCACTCGTGCAGGTGCTGTTTAGTGGACGTGTAATTCAACCCAAAGTGTAATACCTCACGGCAAAAGATGCACAATAAAAAACTTGTTATTCGTCTGTTGCCTTTTAGGAAAAGAGTAAAATTTGCTTCCCATAATTATGTATATACCAATTGACAGTAGAAGATGCATTTAATTTTGTTTACCTTTGTAATACTGTTGTTATCGTTTTAAGTGACCACCGTTTATTGAAAACTGATAATAATCCTGATTTTGTAAGTGTAGTTCATGTAAACAGTCCATCTGTAACACCAAGAGATTAACTTAGCAATTTTGTATTAATTTATGTATAATTTAATGTTGGAAATATATGTGTAAAAAGAAGAGTTTGCATTTTTCTCGTGAACGCGTGTCGTAAAAACTTACTACAAAAGAAATTATACACAATAGAACATCACCATTTCAGGGGGATTTTAAAGCATGTGTCATTTGCATGCGGGTCACAACGAATGCATGATTCCGTTAATAAGTCTGTGCGATGGCTTGGAATACCTAACTTCCAATATCATTGAAACAGTTCGTTTGTATAAGTAGTTACTAGTATCATGCATTTTGCTCAATTCATGGATCCGTTTATTTAAGTTTGAACCATTCTGTTATTTTATTGCATTTATGTACCACAAGATGGGGACTTGGTAGAATTAAAAACGGAGGATAGGAATTATTTATAAAATTTAAGAATAAAAACAGCTTTTATAATAAGTCTTATCTTTGTCAGGTATTCAAATTGAGATGCGGTGTTTAGTAAATGTTGAATATTTTGTTGCGGATCATCCTTTTGTTGTTCTTATGGTATCTAGTAACAAACGTACAGGCAATATACTGTTCGCTGGAAGAATTACTAATCCCCAGTAATGCAGGTAGGAATATTTCCATTGATACTAAAATGTGGCTATCATTAGATGTGTAATATTTATGCTTCTTATTCTTATTGCATGTCCAGGTTGTTCTTACTAATTTTTTCGTAATTATAAAAATACACAGGGTTGGGCAAATGTGTCGGAACACCCTAAGTTTGATTAAAAAATACCTTTCACAAAAGTTTTTGTAGTATTTTTATTCTTTTCAATGGCGTACTTTAATTTCCAACGTCTACTTTATTTTTAGAGAAACGGGGCTGTAGGCAGTTTTTTAAATGGACCGCCCTGTTTATTTTAACATTTTTAGAAAGACCGATTTTCACGAAATACAATGATAAAGGGTTTGGTGGGTCTGCCATGTATTGTTTTTTAAATGTCGAATACAACTATAAAATAAAGATTAAAAATTGTATTAATGGAAATGAAATTTGTTATTGCAAAATATGGAGCACTTGAATATTAAAAAAAGATTCGTAATAAATGTTCAAACTGACGACCTTCGGCAGCCTGACAATATCCTAATCGATCAACGAAAGCTCTTATTAAGGAATTTTGAATGGCATGCTGTGACATTTCTTAAACGACCATTCTAATTAGATCTTCCATCTCGTCTAACGTCTGAGGTTTGGTCTTGTGGACAACACATTTTACATGAAATAGTCTAACGGACTTAAATCTGACGATCGCAGTGGCCATTCAATACATCCTCTTCGCCCTATCCATGCCTGTGGAAATACATTATTTATGATGAGGCAGAGCTCCATCTTGTTGATACCAAAGGTCATTTGAGAGTACTTCAGGATTTGCATGGTTTGGAAATAAACGAATCAATGCTGGAATGCGCAAAGGTTGTAAATAACAAAAGAGTTCAAATTTTCTCTAAGAAAGAATGTGCCGAAAATGGGTCCTCTGATTATGCCCATCCGTACATTTAATTTCTGAGGATATTGAGTGTGATTTTCTTCTATCCCATGTGGATTTTGATCACTCCAGTAACGACAGTTATGTCGATTTATAAAACTGTCTAAGAACAATGTCGATTCATCCGAGAAAAGTATATTATTGACAAAGTTTCCATTATTCTCAATGACGTTCATCATTTTGTCACAAAATTGCAACCTTCTATCAGTGTCATCCTCATTTAATAATTGTTGTACTAAATGTATTTTATACGGATGAAATTTATTTTTGGACAATATCCTCCTTATTGATCTCTCGCTAATATTGTGATATGACTACTTGAAGTACTGAAGTTTTTGGTTCTTCTTGTAGATTGACAAAAACATCAGAATCTAGTGACTTATCTTCATTTGTATCTGATTTACGTGCGCCTGATTTTGTAAGATTTTTAACACTTTCCGTTTCATAAAACATTGTCACAACCCTTGAAACTGTAGATTTTGAAATATGGAATTTCCTTCAGGGAAAATTGCATAAAAAATATATGCATCTTCCTGCCTCCAAAACCAACCATCGTCAACAAAGAAATTCTTTTACTTAGGTCACGCATAACTTGAAATTTGAACAGCGATCTTAATAAGTAATAACTATCTGTCTCTATTGACAGCATCTAATACAAATAGATGATTTAATTTCTTTTGACAAAATTTGCAAAAACGCTATCAAACCCGATGACTTTTTCAGGTAGCCGTGACAAAAGATATAAACAGCCAACTTTTTATTTTATTGTTTTAGTCAACATTTAAAGAACAATAAATTGCAGACCCACCAAACCCTATATCACTGCAATCTGTCTTTCTAAAAATGTTAAAATAAACAGGGTGGTCCATTTCAAAAAAACTGCCGGCCTCGCTGTATCTCTAAAAATAAAGTAGATGTTGGAATTTAAAGTGCGTCATTGAAAAGAATAAAATACTACAAAAACTAAAGGTACTTTTTAATCAAACTTATGGTTTACCCTGTACACAGGTGTTCCGATACATTTGCCTAACTCTGTATCGATCATAAAAAAATTACTATTTTACTTCATTGACTTGTCTTATACGGGGTGTAACTCTGGATGGGGATCATATTTATTCAGAGGCTACTTTTGACCTTTAGGAACACATACACGTTTGTTTTCTCAAATTATGTCCTTGAAACTTCGTGGATGCTGGACAGACTAGTGTAACTCCAAACAATCGTGCCTGCTAGTTGCGAGCGCATACCCAATTGGGAGTTGCAGCATGCATTGTTGTCAAATCTCATCTTTTATTGACAAATACTACAAATTTTCTTATAACATCACACAGAAATCTAGCGATGAAGACACACAAACACACTATACCATTACTAAACAGTGACATAGTCAGTCATTGAATTAATGTTGGCCGTTTGTTTTTTACCAACTTATTATGGAATTCAAAAATGTATAACATATACATAATACCGTAAGAAAGTGTTGAACAGTCGATGGTATTTAAAAGTAAAGAGACTAAAATTGACTTCAGTATGTAATTAAATGTAAAATATCAGGTGTCATTGACACTGAGATTCATATACTAAACACAGTGCTTTAAAAAAATAGTAACAGGTACTTTTTATTATAAACCTGAAATTATTTTAAGAAATATTTCAAATTATCAGATCAGTAAGTAGTTTTATTTATTTTTTATTATGTAGGTACGTGTTATATGTAGAAGGGCAAAAATAATTATTCGAACATAAAAAAAATGTCATAAAGTTGATTTAAAAAGGTAACAACTGGCAAATCGGTATTATGGGGAAAACACTATAACCCCTAAAAAATCGACCCCATTAAGGTTACACCCTTATAAATTTTATATCCAACTGCAAAAATTTCTGGATTGGTTTTGGAAATTAAAAATGATTATCGATAAATATTTATATTTATAAGAAAAATTATGTGACCTTCAAAAACAAAAATCAGATAACAGCTTCTGCAAACATTGGAATGAATGAAGTTTTACAAAATTCTGAAACTTGTTATGGATCTGCCAGATTGGGAGGAATAGGTAGAATGCTTCTTAATAGCATGACAGGGGTAGCATTAGGTAACCTGAATATGATATTCTGTAAGGCTTTATTTTCAACCAGGTGTACACTTTATGCCAAGAACTGCAAGAATTAAAGGGGTGGTACAAAAATTCCAGGCCGATCATCCGTTTATCATGCTACTCGCCCAATGCGGAAAGAGAAAGAGAAACAGAATGATAAACCCACTTTTCATTGGGAAAATTAGTGAACCTAATAAATAACTACGCATTTAATAATAGTGTTAAAAATTAAACTGTATTAATTTGTTCATAAAAAGGATAGTAATATATTCACATTGTATTATTTGAATTACTTATTAAAGAAGTATTGAAGTTTTTATTATTATTATTAAAACTTGAAAGGGATGCGTTAATAATAATTACCTTCTTGTCCTATTTGTTTGTATTTATCTAGGGAAATATTAAATTTAAAAACCATATATTCCAATGTGTTGCTTTTGTTGGTTGCTGATTTCGTTTTGATTTTCCTTTGCTTTCTCTCCTGTTGATATATCTATCGTTACACCATATCTTTACCAAAGCATTTCATTCTAGATTTGACTTTCGGACTAGACTTTTTATCAGAGGAACTACCACCTGAGATTTTTTATGCGGACCGGCCATTCAAGTTTTTTATTCGATGCGACAGTGGTAAAGAAGCCACTATTCTTTTCCAAGGGAGGGTGTCGTTTCCCCTGTATATACTAAAGTATTATCTGAGAAAAAATAATGAATAAAATTAAAATTATAAAAAAAACATATTGTCTGAAGTCGTCTAACTTGGGTTAGATATCCTTTGCATCCTAGATTGAAGTAACTTTATTAAAAAAAAAAAGTGAATTTGTTGGAATTAGCTGAGTATTTTCTTTAGTTTGCTTACTTAAATCTTTCCTATTAATTATTCTTCTTTTTCAACTTGCTCTCAATGTGTTGCATATCATTGCTACGACTTAATCTCTATTTTTGTAGTACAACCTAGTAAAACCAGTTTCATTTTAGATACGAATTTAGAATTCGAATGTATGTCTATCCATCGACCATCTCAGGTTTTTTATGTTAATCGGCCATTCATCTTTTTTGTTCAGCATACCAAAGGAGCGGAAACCCATGTTCTCTTCGAAGGAAGAGTTCGCTTTCCCTTATACGTAATAAAAAATTATTTAAGGAAAAATAATGTTTAAATTAGATCATAGGATTAGTGTAATATGATATAGTGTACTAATACTAGTTCAGATCTGTTATTAAAAAGTTTACTATCGATTTTTGGCTTTAAAGTGTCTCGAAATAATTTTCTTAATTTTCTACCGGCCCACATGTTCACTGAAAACTTTTGCTGAAAAGCACAGCGACGTATTTCGTGTGGATTTTCGATAGTCCAGTGGTGAACATTTTCTTATTCGGAACTTGACAGTCGGGATAATCTATCTGATATTGTCTTCTGTTTTATCCACACAAAGAGTAGACTCTAAC